AGTTCTGTAAAACATGAAAACCAGTTGTACTTTTGCCCTGCCCATCCCTACCCCCAGTTCTCACTTGTCAAAGAGGTAGCCTTTCTTTACCTATTTGTCTACCACTCACATTCATATACTTAAGTTGCTATAATATCATGCTTGGTTTTTTAAATTGTCTATTAATTTCCTGTAAAGGAAAAACAAGAGTTTACTTCTCTGGTATGACACTCCATCTATACTTATCTCCCTACCACTGACTTTGGGAACCCACTGCATTTATAGCAAATTGTAAGCAAGTCTTCTCTTTGTCCAAGTGAAAGATGTTCTGATCTTTCAAAATGATCAGCTGTATAAACAACTCTGAAAAATGGCTCAGATAAAAAGATAATCAGAGCTTTGTAGTCTTGGTATACAAACTAGAGGAAGTATACGGGCACAAGACGATGAAGGAGGAATATGTCTTCCAGCCCAGATTGAGGCTCTGCTATTGACTAGCTGTGATTTGGGTTAAGTCTTTTTACTTCTAAAAGGCTCATTTTTCTTATGTGCATGGCAGTAACAATACTAATTACCTTGAGCCTGAAATAATGTATTAAAATCCATTAAATAAAGCACCCAGCATAGTGACAGACACACCACAGGCACTAAAGTTGTTATTTTTACCTTTTAAGGAAAGAAAAGTATAGCTTCCATTTTTTCCAAAATCCACAAATCGATACAGCACAAACTCTTAAGTTATTAACGTATCTGAGCCTCAGTTTTGTCACTTGTCACATGTGGATGGTAATATCTTTATCACAGAATAATGGAATCACATCATAGGCAGTTAAATATAATATACTTTCTCACTTTACTAATATTACTAACAAACCCAACTTTACTACTTATAGTACAGAAGCATTCTTGCATTAAAAATCAAATCACAGGAAGAAATTGTACGTGAAGGATGCTATGCACATCAACTTGACAACAATCATGATAAAATTTTAACTTTTATTTAAGGCAAATAGAATCACTCTGTGAAGTTTGTGACAATAACTAAAGTTCAATTGTATGATAATATGTATTTTTTAACATTGACAGCCATTAATTTTTAAATAAGAAAGCAAACTTATTTTGATAGTTGCTTTTTTAAGTACTGTTTATTCAAGGGAAATTAATTTACAATGCTATAGAATATTTGTTGAAAGGGGAATTTGGCATACACATAATTGTGTATGTTTTACTGAAGAGGTCCATAGTTTCATAAAGAAACCATCAACAACACTGAGATTGTTTTGATGATGGGTTGTTGAGATCAATGATTGTCTCTGTGATCAGAAGACAGTTAAACTCCAGAAGTAGGTTACAGAAGCTCATTCTAATCTCCCTTCTAATGCTCCAGCAATCTCATCTCTCCTAAGAGTGATTTACCCTTTACAAAATCATTCATAATCATATAATAAATCATTCAACTATATCAAATATCTGGGGAAATTCCTTATATTTCCTAGAGTTTAAGTACCTTTCTCTAACATCTTTCAGAAAAATTATTTATGTAGGTTTTTATAAAAATTATTTATGCAGGTTTTACTTTAATAACTGATACATGGATGTAATGTATCATTTCTTGTACTATAATAAATATATAATTTTAAATGTCATATTAATTACAGAACCCGTTTTCATGAAAAATGCTTCAGTGTCTTTGAGAGAAATACTGAAAGATTAAGAGCATGAAATCTAGAACTAGAACCCCAGGGCTGCAAATTCAGCTCTCTCAATTTCTGATGTGTAATGTCAGCTGAGTCACCTAACCTCTAAGCTACCTTATCTCTAAAACAGAGTAATATTATTTAGCTATTCTTGTAAATTTGTAATGCAGAGTAAATAAGTTAACATACATAAAGTGTTTAAAATACCACCTACCACACAGTTAACATTGTCTAATAGATGTGTTATCTAAATATGATATTACAGATAATATATATTAAATTTAATTAAATTGCTAATTGAGGCCATTGTTCTTATGACAGTAAATAAAGAATTATTAGGAGCTAATAAAAATACTCATTTATGTGCAAAGTCTCTAATAGAGTCAGCAAACATTTTTTAATTCAATTAGTGGTTGAGATAGACACATTAGACAATGCTTGTTTCAAAAATGGGCAATAACTGAATTTTAATGAGATCAATTGTTTGTCACAGATTATTGTCAGCCTTTTTAACATTACTGTTTCTCTAGGCACTAATCTTAAAAGTCTTTCCCAAGACTTCTTAAAGGAAAAGAAGAAATGCCATATCCTGTTTATGTATCTTGTCTCAGAAAGATAACTTAGTGTCCCTCTCACACAAGTAGACATTCATTTCCAGAACAGTAGAATGTGATTAATTGCCTCTTGGTTTAGTTTTCTTTTGATGTGGTCAAGACATATCTTTAATTTATATGTAGTGTTTTGATAAAGAAATTTGGTATCATACCCACCAAGTTGACACGTATTTTTCAATATGCTGTGAAAGGAGCAATTGTATTGTACCTTAAACAAAAAGAAAGAAAGTCGATGAATAGATTTTTCTCAGGATATGATTTATGACACAAGTTCTACAAACTGTGTTTTTCTTTGCCAAATAATTCCTTTCAAGTGCTATTTTTTTTAGAATTATGTAATGTCTCTTTTTTGTATGCCAGAAAAATAGCCAGGATATGAATTTGACATCACATGCATGGTGAGAGTGTGGAAAAGATTCTGAGAATGCTATTTACTTCCAAATAAAAGGTCATAGAATTAATTTTACAAGTCAATGTGTGAAACTGGCTTTCTGAGAGCCTTGGATATTTGGAAAATTAATGTGTGTACATTCAAAATGTACGTGTTCATACACTTCTAATAAACCCTTTCACAAGGCAGAGAACATTGTGTCCACCTAATTTTACAATTGCCTTTTTCAGAGAGAACTTTGTAAATTTACACAATCATACTTAACCTAGCTGAGCCAGGAGAAAAATTGCTTTTGAATGTTGAACTCTATGAATTATTCTAGTGTGTTACGGACTCTGACTTGAATGAATTACCAGATTATCCTCCTGAGACACTTAAAAATTCAGCAGCTTCATTCTGTCCATTTATGTGTCCCAAATTATGTTAATTGGGCCTAACTTACCAAGCATACTCTCTGTAGAATATACATCATTCTAACTTTATGTCTGTGGTCTACATAAAAATGTCAGTTTGAAGAATGTGGTTATATTTAGCAGAGCTGCTGGCTATTTTTTGTTAAAGCTTAAACAGTTCTTTCTTCTTCTCCTTCCTTCCTTCCCTCCTTCTTCCTTCCTTCTTTCCTTTCTCTTTCTCTTTTTTCTTTTCTTTCTTTCTTCCTTTCTTTCTTTTCTTTCTTTCTCATGTTTGTTTTAAGAGACAAGGTCTTGCTCTGTCACCCAGGCTAGAGTTCGTCAATGTGATCCTAGCTCTTTGCGGCCTCAACCTCCAGGGGTCAAGTCATACTCTCGCCTCAGCCTCCCAAGCAGCTGGGATTACAGGTGCACATGCCACACCTGGCTAATTTTTATTTATTTTTCATTTTTTGTAGAGGTGGAGTCTTTTTATGCTGCCCAGGATGATTTCACACTACGGGGCTCAAGTGAACCTTCTGTCTTAGCCTCCCAGAGTGCTGGAATTATAGGATTGAGACACCATACCTGGCTAACTAGTTCTTAATATGTAATTTAATTCAGTCATCTTTGCACCTACACTATAGAATTCAGGGGATGGGTAAATGAAGGGTTCTAGGAGTGGTTGAATGTACTAATAATCACTAATAACCACTGTTTGTTGAGTGTATACTATGGCTGAAGGCCTCGTCTAAGCGCTTACGTGTATTAATTCGTGTTCTGCTCACAGCAACTCTCTGGAGCAGGTACTATTGTTATCTTCATTTTAAAGATGAGAAAACTGCAGCATAGAAGATTTGAAGTAATCATCCAAGGGTCACGAAATTTAAGTAAACTAATCCACATAGGGTGCTCACTAGAAACAGTAATGTTAAAAAGGCTGACAATAATCTGTGACACTGAATTTCTATGGGAATATTCTCAATACAAGAGGCTTGCTAAAGAGTTCTCAGAAAAGAACTTCATTTGAAGAACCTTGAGTGGATTTCAGCATCTCTTCCTTAACAGCTGTTGAGAGATCTGGGTAGTATGCTTTTCTAACAAAAAGCATTCAAAGGTGATGAATTATCTGGAATATCAACGTACTAATTCTCTCCGGAAGTTGGAGGAGAGCCTTTCCAATGAGCAGAATACTGGTATACAGCATCCAGGCTTTGAGTGAAGTCAGATCAGAAGTTTGTTTGATGAGCATGGAATCAGATCATGAATATTCTATAAGGTTATTTCCTGACCCTGATGATTTCCTTATCCCACACTAGGGACCGTGAGGCCTAGCTTTTCAAGTCCTCCAGATTCGCTTTACTAAATACGCTGTGGAATATTCACTGACAACTTCGGGGGCATTATAATGATGACTGAAAGTTACATAAGATTACTCCTCTGCACTGCTTTTCCACGTTTAGAACTCCAACGACTCTCAAATATAGTATGTGATTTGCAAAGAGGGGTACCTTTTGACAGTCAGCATTAATTTTATAGAATCCACTGTCAAATTTCTCTTTCGAGAGTGTCTTCTTGGAATACAGACATTTACTAGACATCCACAGCTCTTTCTAATTCAAGAAGTAAACACATAGATATATAAATACAGCAGGATGCTTATATTTGGGTTGGTGCAAAAGTAATTGCTATTTGCCCACAATTACTTTCGCACCAACCTAAGATATGCAACTATCCAACCCCCAGCGCACTAAAGCCAGATTTGTATATAACGGCATAGCTATTTTATAGTAAGTAACATACATAAGCTGGAGAAATTTTTACTTAAATCTGGGTTAGTCACTACCAAAGTGACATTGTTTTTCCTGAACAATAGAATGTTAATATAATGTCATAAATTTCCTTTAAAAACAATTACTTTGACTTTCAGATTAACATTAACACTTTCCTGTCCAATGGATCTCAAGAATTTTCCCATGGATGTACAAACATGCATAATGCAACTGGAAAGCTGTAAGTATGAACGACTTACTTTTAAAAATAATTTGACAATATAGTAGATACAAGCTTTTAATGCCTAATAGGAATAATTTATTTTGTAATCATTTTGGTCACATATTTACTGAATAGGCATGTAAACTTTCACCAGGTACTGAAAATAAAGATATCTCTCAACACATGCACCCTATACTATGAGAAAGAAACAAATTGAGGATCTAACAACAACAGATTTTTAAAGCTTGCAATGTAAATACATGTTTTCATTTACATCATCAGAAGCGAAGAGGGTGGTAATCATTAAACACAAATTGTCACATTTATTGGAAGCCTCTTATCAACCAAGTGTCTATATATATTTTTTTCTTATACTGACAAAGATACTGTTATCCCCATGTTTTCAAATGTGAAAATGGTCATGCTGAATGGTTGAGTATTGGGCTCCATTCACAAAGGTGACAATGACACACTGTGTGCCTCCAAACTTGTGCTGCTTCTGAGAACTAATGTTGATTATCTTAATATCACTCTGCTGGGTATGGTATGTATGTTGTCTCAGAAGAAAAAAAAATTATCACACTTTCTCACAAACTTATTCCAGCTTTCAGGTTTTCCTCTAAATTTCTTCTTTCAAAGTAGACCTATGTGCCTCACTACTTGATGTTAACACAGATGAATATTTCATGTCCAACCCTTTCTCTGATCTATATAATTAGCCCTAAATTATTTGTTTACAGTGTATAATGCTATGCAAACATTAAGCAATATGTAATATTTTCTCTTGTTATACGACGGGGGAAAAGGTTTGACATCGTCCTTGGGGGAAATTTGAAGGCGGATCCTCACACTACTATGGGTGTCAAAGACAAGGCTTGTAGTGTGATGGAGTAGTCACTAGATGGCGCACCTACTTCGTGGGGCAATGTGACCATCCCCCTCCCCCTCCCATTTGCTTTTTTTCATAAGTGGAAATACCATTTCTCTGATAAGAACTCCTACTTATAACATTTAAATTGATTATTTTTGTAAGTAGTTCTTAAATAATTGATTAACATACATATGAATAAACTACTACGTAAATGACAGGAAATAAATTAAAATTTGGGGAGCTACTTAGCAATTTACGTGGAAAGGAGCAGGAGACTTTTGAAATTGAAGAGAGGCCATTTGAGGACAGGCTGATAGTGTATCTTTGTTGAAAAATTAAGTACATTTAGGGTATAGAGTTTAGAAATGTGCACAACAGTCTAGTGGCACCCTCATTACTAAACCAGGGGGCTGGATGTTATTCAATAGGTATGAGAAATGGTCAACATATAAGGGCCAAGAAAATTATTTGGTACTTGCTGTACCTCTTAAAGATTATTTTAGTTAAATGAACCAAGATTATTTAAGAAGTCCTCATGATTTTCCAGCAAAAAGAACAGAAAGTAGGACAAAAAGCAGTTATGTGAAAGGTAGAAACAGGAGAGGTTGATTCAGAGTGGAAGTGAAGTCGCTGAGTGCTTGTGAGTCAGAGCTAAAGAGCTCAGATAGATCAGATTAGAAGCACTGATGAAGAAAGGGAACAGGGGATGAGAAAGAAATGTTGATGGGACTGTTGATAAAAATCCATCTTAATATGTTTGAGGCCTGGGAAATTTAGGTTCAAAGCCCAAGAGAGGATTGCAAAGTGAAGAGCAACTATTAAAAGCCAAATACAGAGTGGTTCAAGGAATCCGATGAAACAGCTGAAGAAGAGCATGTAGAGAGGCAAACAAAAACACAAACAAGAACAAGAACAGACCCTTAAGAAATGCCTACCTTTAGAAGTTGTTGGAAGAACTTCCAGACAAAGGGTTGTCAGATGGCAAATTAAAATCAACACTATTCAATCTCAAAACAGAAGGAAATGTCAAGGAGTTTTGTGTAACAAAATCAAATGCTGCAAAAAAACCTTTCATAAGGGACTTGAAAAAAGCAACTGTTATTGTCAACAAAGACAAATGTGACTAGAATGATGATGGTCAAAGCTGGAATCTAAAAAACTTTTTTTTTTTTTTTTTTAAGTGAGTGATGAGAACGTGGGGGCAGTGAGTGAAATCTGTTATTCCATGAATGGTAGTTATTAAAGAAAGATGAGAAAAAGTACAGTGCCTGAGGGTTGGTTAGATCACTGGGCTTCCATTTTTGAATAAGGAAAGCTTACTGGGGCTATTTTGCAGAATGTAAGAGCTGACATAATAAGACCTCTCAAGTGCCTGCCCTTGTCAGAACATTTCCAAAGCAATCTAAAACTCAACATGAGAAAAGAAAGCCTCTCTTCCTCTTCCCCCTTGTTTCTTAATTCCTCTGTAAGAAATATGAGCGGGCTGTTCAAGGGGTTCTTTAATATTTCAGTTGTTAAGCACTTCCTGCTCTCCTATTAGAAATCAGTTTTAATTTAGCTCACCATAGAGACTTTGTTTATTAAGCTCCTTTATAGATGCTAATGTCAGTTGAAGTAGAAGCTACTGAAGTCAAATTCTTCAAGCTGTTTTTTTCTTAAAACTTTTTTAGGACAATTTCATATATATATACACATATATAATATATATTGTATATACATATATATTAAGAAATGCCCACATTTTTATATATATATATATATGTATATATGTGTGTGTATATATACCCATACATAAAAATCTGCGTGTGTGTGTGTGTGTGTGTATATACACACATACATACATATATGTGTGTATGTGTGATTTGTTGGTTTGAGACGGAGTTTTGCTCTTGTTGCCCAGGCTGGAGTTCAACTGCATGATCTCAGCTCACCCCAACCTCCACCTTGCAGGTTGAAGTGATTCTCCTGTCTCGGCCTCCCAAGTAGCTGGGATTATAGGCATATGCTACCATGCCTGGCTAATTTTTTGTATTTTCAGTAGAAATGGGGTTTCTCCATATTGGTCAGGCTGGTCTCAAATTTCTGACCTCAAGTGATTCACCTGCCTTGACCTCCCAAAGTGTTGAGATTACAGGGGTGAGTCATCGTGCCCGGCCTATATATACATTTTAAGAAAAAATTCTATCTATTTTTCTTATTTCTCCTTAAATAGTCGTTTAAGATGACAAGATAAAAGATTGTAAATTAGTGGAACTCACTGGAACGTAGGTTAAAAGAGTTTAACCTACCAGAAAGCAAGAGCTATAAAAATCCCAGGGTCTACTTTTGAATTAACTGCAAAAAGGAAAAAAGAAAATGTTCAATAATATTAAGACATGGGAAGCAGGCAAAAAGGAAACATAGTTGAAAAGCAAACATTTTAATGGCTTGTAATGGTACAATTTCAGTAAAAGTTTGATAAATTGTGTAAAAGTTCAATAAATATATATCAATGGTCAAGACTGTTCCAAGTGGCCTGGGAAATAATCTTTCATTTAAGCATCAATTGAAAATATCTATCAAATACTTAATGTATTCCACATATTATGTTGTGTGATATAACAATAAATCAAGCCAAAAAGTCTCTCCTTTCAAGAATTTCAGAGGCTACCTGGAATATAATAAGGTAAATTATATTTATGCCAATATAATAATTCAATTAAAGATGATAAGTAAATGTTAATGGCATACTGTTTAAACAAAGGAGAAAGTGAATAAGAGAAGAACAAAATTAGCAATGAATAACTAACTTAGAAAAGAATGTGTTGTCTAAACTATCAATGATCCCATGCCCTCAAAAGTCAACATTTACAACTTAGAATTGAAACCCTAGTTGATACAAAATTCATAGTTAGAGGAAAAGAAATTATTGGAGAAGAGGCTTATGCAGGGGAAATCCAAGGTAAGAGAAAGTTTTCATTAGAAACTGGTAAGAAAAATATGTATGAGTTAAGGATAACATCAAAGAACAAAAATAGGAAAAACAGTAAATACACTTCAGATAAAAAGAGATTCTCAAACTAGATGTTAACAAATATTAAGACCCAACAATGTGTTGACAACTAGACTCTTTCTAAGAATACTATGCAAAAAAAAAAAAAAAAAAAAAAGATAAGGAAAAATGAAAAAATTTATATCTGAGAAGTGTACCTTTAAAAAGTCCAGAATAATTTTAATCTGAAAAAAATTAATGGCAGTAAAAAATTATGAGTCACAAACACTTGAGTAGTATGTTGGTAAAAAAAAATCAATATACGGTAGCTCATGCCTGTAATCCCAGCACTCTGGGAGGCCAAGGCGGGCAGATCACTTGAGGTCAAGAGTTTAAGACCAGCCTAGCCAACATGGTGAAACCCTGTCTCTATAAAACTACAAAAATTAGCTGGGCGTGGTCGCACGTGCCTGTAGTCCCAGCCACTTGGGAGCCTGAGGCAGCAGAATCACTGAACCAGGAAGGCAGAGGTTGCAGTGAGACCAGATGGCGCCACTGCACTCCAGCCTAGACAACAGAGGGAGACTTTAAAAAATAAATAAATAATAAATAATAAATCAATATATAATTGGGAAAATATAAGTATGTGACCATATAATTTCTAAATTTACTAAGGAAAAGCAGGATGAACATCATAAAAAACAGGTAAATTAACAATTAATTGGATTGTACAAGCACAGAATATTTGAACAAAACAAATCACAGAGGAGACACAGAGAATTCTTATTGCTTCTTTGTTTTTGATTTTTCTTTTTAGCATATGGGAACATTTACAAAATTAATCATGTTATACACCACCAAGGAAGTTTCAGTAACGTCCTGTGAATCAACATGTAATAAAATGTGATTTCTAACTAAAATGCAATAAAATTAGAAATCTATAACAATATGGAATTACTATAAGTTGCTATAAAGTCTCTTACATTATTATGTATTAATATGCAATTGTATAACTGGAATGAAAAGCATATACTAAGTGACTTTGTTTAAAGGTGAAATTAAGAAAAACTTGATGCTAAGTAACAATGAAAGCAGAGTATCAAAATTTCAAGATATGACTAAAGCACATTTTTTAAAAAATAAAAATGATTGCACTAAGCATTCTATTCAAAAAGA